AAAAAAAGCTGGATGCGGTGGCTCAGGCCTGTAATCCCAGCACTTTGGGAGGCCGAGGCAGGTGGATCACGAGATCAGGAGTTCAAGACCAACCTGGCCAACATGGGGAAACCCCGTCTCTACTAAAAATACAAAAAAAATTGATGGACGTGGTGGCGGGCGTGTGTAATCTCAGCTACTCCAGAGGCTGAGGCAGAGAACTACTTGAACCTGGGAGGCGGAGGTTGCAGTGAGCTGAGATAGCTCCACTGCACTCCAGCCTGGGCAATGAAAGCGAAACTCCGTCTCAAAAAAAAAAAAAGTTCCTGCACTAGGGTCCCAACAGACTAGACTAAAAATTAAAATGATGTCACTGATGCTAAAGTTCTACATCATCAGACTGATAACTTTCACGAAATCACAGGGAGAGATTTGGGAAATCACACAGCCTGATTTCCCAAACAGGCTGGGTTTAATCAGCATAATGAAGTTCCCTTCGCTTTAAACCTTACAGCAAAAAGTAACCTGAAGTAACCCGGTATGAACCAATCAGTTATTTCTCTCTTGTTCTGTTTCCATGTTCCTGCCTTACAAGGAAAGTAACTTTGAAATGACCAATCACTTTTTGTTCTTTGTTTCTGCTTTTTTCAGCCCTTTTCTGTCTATAAAACCAATCTCCTCTCATTGGGACACCTGTGCTATTTTCTGGAATGAAGTCTTGCCCGATAAAGAATCACAAATAAAGCCAGTTAAGATGTTTAAACGACATTGGTTGTAATTTTGTCTTTTGACATATACAATCACCTGGGAAGTGTTGACTAATGCAGGTCCCTGGACCCACCTCCAAAGGATTCAGATATCTTTGGTCTAAGGATGAGACCAGGAGTCTGCATTTTCACCCACAACTCCAGTTGATTCTCATACCTGTGATCCTGGAAGCACCCATGAGATGGTTGGGCAGGTTGCCTTCCCTCAGGCTCTTCTGCAGGTTTAAACCATCCCCCTCTGGACCTGGCATGTCATGTGGACATTGTGAACTCCAGGCAGTCAGAAAACCTAGAAGAGAAAAGAAATAGAAGAGGAAACTGAGGCACAGAAAGGTCTTCATTCTGAGTTGCCCACAGCCACTGCCTGGTATTATCAGCTGAGTTCCAGCTCTCTCCCTGAGTGCTTGTGGCAGGCACTATGTTTGGAATTCTAAGTACACATTCTCATTCAGTCTCCACGCCAACCCTCCAATACAGGGGCTACTATTCTCATTTTATAGACAAGGAAACCAAATGGCTGTGGTGGCTCACGCCTGTAATCCCAGCACTTTAGGAGGCTGAGGTGGGTGCATTACCTGAGGTTGGGAGTTCAAGACCAGCCTGACCACCATGGCAAAACCGCATCTCTACTAAAAATACAAAAATTAGCAGGGTGGCACGCCTATAATCCCAGCTACTCAGGAAGCCGAGGCACAAGAATCGCTTGAACCCGGGAGGCAGAGGTTGCAGTGAGCCAAGATTATGCCACAGCACTCCAGCCTAGATGACAGAGTGAGACCCTGTCTCAAAAAACATAAAAATAAAACATTAGATGGGGTTGGGGGGGGCAGGTGCAGTGGCTCACACCTGTAATCCCAGCACTTTGGGAGGCCGAGGTGGGTGGATCACCTGAGGTCAGGAGTTTGAGACCAGCCTGACCAATGTGGTGAAACCCCATCTCTACTAAAAATACAAAAAAAATTAGCCAGGCGTGGTGGAATGCAACTGTAGACCCAGCTACTCAGGAGGCTGAGACAGGAGAATTGTTTGAACCCAGGAGGCGGAGGTTGCAGTGAGCCGAGATCGCACCACTGCACTTGGGTCTGGGTGACAGAGCGAGACTCTGTCAAAAAAAAAAAAAAATAGGTGAGGAAACTGAGGCACAGAGCGGCAAAATTACTTGTCCAGAGTAGTACTGCACATTGGTATGGAAACCTGCATTCTAACCTGGTCTAGAGGAGTTCCTGCCTTGGAGCCAGGCTTCATGGGTCCAAGTTCCAGCTGCATAAATTCTAGTGGTGTAAGCTTGGGCAAATTTTCATTAATCCCTGCTCTGTGCACTCCTTTGTAAAACGGAGATAATTAAAGTGCCTGCCTCATAGGGATGATGTGAAGATTGGATGAGTACATATCATGCTCTTAGTATACTGAGTGGCTCAATAAATATCAACTGTCATTACTACACATCTTTAAATAATAGCAAATAAAGGAGATAAATAGCCGGGCATGGTGGTGCATGCCTGTAGTCCCAGCTTCTCGGGAGGCTGAGGTGGGAGGATCACTTGGGCCCAGGAATTCTGGGCTATAGTGCGCTATGTCGATCAGGTGTCCAAACTAAGTTCGGCATCAATATGGTGACCTCCGGGAGTGGGGGACCACCAGGTTGCCTAAGGAGGGGTGAACTGGCTCAGGTCGGAAATGGAGCAGGTCAAAACTCCCGTGCTGATTAGTAGTGGGATCACACCTGTGAATAGCCCCTGCGCCCCAGTCTGGGCAACATATATATATATTTGGATCATGAAACCCTCTTATGCAAAACCCTCCAGCAGTTCCCCATCCTACTTAGAAGAAAACTCAAATCATGTCTAACCCTCGCCCACAAGGCCCACGTGACCTGTGTCCCCTCACTTACTTCCCTGCAGTCTCAGGTCTATTTCCAAATACATAGGGCTGGCTCCCACCCCAGGCCCTTTGCACCAACTCCTCCTTCTGCCTGGATCATGCTTCTTAAAAATCTTCTCAGCTTTCGGGTCTCAGGTCAAATGTTACCTCCCTGAACAGGTCTTCCCTGACCACCATCCCTAAAATAGTCCGCAGTCACTCTCTAGGGGAGGAGCCTCCCTTTCCTCTTCTAGCTCCTGGTGACTCCTAACACTCATCTGTGTCTTATTTATTTGCTAGCTTGTTTCCTTCTCCTGCTCTCCACTGTCATGTTCTAGGAGGGCAGAAACCTCTACTTCTTGTCTGTTTCCTTGATATGTCATTGAGAGGTGGAACTCAGACTCAGGTCTGCCCTGACTCTCTGAGGCTGGGTGTTGATCTACAAAGCTCTGGCGCTTCCCTGCTAAGGCCTGGCCTAGAAGCAGCCACGCCCTGGGATCCTCCAGCAATGTGATGGTGGTGATTGGGAATCTTTAGTGATGACTGGTTAGAAAATAGACAAATGATCATGTGACATGGTGGCTAAAACCTTTTCCTGGCAGGCATGGCTGAGGAATGATCTCACGCGGCTTCCCCAGCCTTTTCTACATGGATTAGCTAATGGAGGAAATCAGCACTACAAATCAATGACCCATTAAACTTTTTTAAATGTCCTAAGAGTCGACAGTGGAGAAGGATGGCTGTTTACCAAGCCTCCAACAGATCACTGACTCCTGACTTAGCAAGGTCTGCAAGTTTCCTGGAAAAATTGGTCCTGATCTTCTTCCTGGGAGATGGCACAGTTTTAAGGGCTTGTGATCCCAAATGAGCCCTATGGGGTCTCCGATGACATGTCACTTCCTCAGAGAGCTCCCTTCTGACCACTGCTCATAAACAGTGCCCTATAGCTCTACCCCTTTTTCTTCTTGACACTTACCAGGCATTTATGACTTATTTTTTCCCTAGTGTTACCATGTGATGTGATGTTATACATTTGTTTTATGTGTGTATCATCTGTCTCTGCCAGTAAATGTAAACTTCTTAAAGAAAGAGACAAAGTCGATTTGGCTTATTGCTGTCTTCCCTGCACTACAGATCATTCCCAGAAGAGCCTATCAGTTCTTAGAAGGTTCTAGAAGCAAACATAACAGGGTTTCTTTGTATATCAT